AGTGGACTCAATTTGCACTATTTCTGGCCGTCTGCAACCCCCCTAAGAGTCCTTTATTAAGCCATCTCCAGGAGAAATGTTTTAAAAATTGTACAGACACAAATATAGGGCTGGCATCCTGATGGTGCACCGTGTCACCAAAATAGATACAGGAAGTGAGCAAGAGGGGAGAGGTTGTGGTGCAGTGATAGTGAAGGAAATAAGGCATTGGAGCAATAGGATGCTCAGAACTGGCAAATTATATCTGCCTTTGCTCATCATCACTGTGCAACCCCTGAAAAAAAAAATGCAGGTGTAGTACTGTGCCCTGGCCTAAGTGTGTGGTGTAAGTAAGCTCCCAGAGGTTTGTTGATTTGGTTTGTTTCCTTCTTTTCTGACAGATCCATGCTGGGTAAAATTAGCTCACTTAAAAAGCTTGTTGAAAACTATTGTAGCATTGTTGCTTTCTAAATAGCTGCAGGCAAGACAAGCATTGGCACTGCCAAGGATGGACCTTGGGACATACCTCCCGGGTCCCAGGGTCTACTCCATAGTGATCCTGTCAGAAACTGTGGTGGTAAGAAGGCAAGCCATGGCCCACACAACCACTGTGTTGTCCACTAAAGACTGTGGTCACATACAACTTTAAATCAAAGTGTTTTTCCAAAGTGAGCAAAAATGGCAGTGTGCTGACCAATCTTATTTATTTATTTATTTATTTATTCAAATCTTTATTTATGTATATTTCATTTGTATGCCACCTTTCTTCCAGAAGGGACCCAAGGCAGTTCACAGATAAAAACATTTAAAAAGCAATATAATACAAATTAAAACAGTCAAAAATAATCTTAAAACAGTATAAAATTATGTTAAAAAGGCAAAAGTTAGAAGACATGACTAAAACACACATATGCATTTACTATGTTGGTTTCATTCTAGTGCCAAGTTAAAACATGGCTTTTTAATTAAGCCTCTCAATCATAATGATTTATTCTTTCTGTGTATATCCTTCATTTGTACCTGCACAAGGTTTTAGAGTATTACAACATTTAAAATAATCCAACTTTTTAATTATGCAACTGTTTAATATGTTTTTAATTGTTAATATGTCTATATTCTAAACAAGGAGGAGGGGAAATGTTGTCCATGTTCAAAAAGGGAAAAAAGAAGACCCAAACAATTAGCACTGGTTAACCTGACATCAGTATCAGGAAAGGTTCTAGAGCATATCATTAAATAAAGAGTCTGTAAGCATTTAGAAAAGACATAATCACAAAAAGTCAACATGGGTTTCTCAAAAACAAGTCATGCTAGACTAATGTTATCTGTCTTTTTTTTTCTTGATAAAATTACCAGCTTGGTGAATGGAAGTAATGCTGTGATTGTAGCATATCTTAATTTCAGTAAGGCCTTTGACAAGGTCCCCCATGATATTTTTGCAAACAAAGCTAGTAAAATGTGGGCTGGACGAAGGTACTGTTAGATGGATTTGTAATTGATTGACTGGCTGAACCCAAAGGGTGCTCAGCAATGGCTCCTCTTCATCCTAAAGAGAAGTGACCAGTGGGGTGCCACAGGGTTCTGTCCTGGGCCCAGTGCTATTCAACATCTTTATCAATGACTTCAATGAAAGAATAAAGAACATGCTTATCAAATTTGCACATGCCACCAAATTAGGAGGAATAGCAAATACCTTAGAGGAGAGGATCAAAATCCAGAACTATCTTAATAGATTAGACAGCTGAGCCAAAATTAACAAGAAATGTAAGAGAAATGTAAGGTACTACACTTAGGGAGAAAAAAATGAAATTCACAGATATAGGATGGGGGACACCTGGCTTAATGAGACTACATATGAAAGGGATCTAGGAGTCCTAGTAGACCACAAGTTGAACATGAATCAACAGTCTGATACAGTAGCTAAAAAGGCTAATGTGATTCTAGGCTGCATTAATAGAAGTATAGTGCCTAGATCAAGGGAAGTAATAGTGCCACTGTATTCTGCTTTGGTCAGGCCCCACCTGGAATACTGTGTCCAGTTCCAGACACCACAATTCAAAAAAGATGTTGACAAGCTGGAGCATGTCCAGAGGAGGGCAACTAAAATGGTGAAGGGTCTGGAAACCATGCCTTATGTGGAGAGACTTAGGGAACTGGGTATATTTAGCCTGAAGAAGAGACGGTTAAGAGGTGATATGATAACCCTGTTTAAATATTTGAAGGGATGTCATATTGAAGAGGGAGCAGGCTTGTTTTATGCTGCTCCAAAGACTAGAGCAGGGGTAGGCAACCTAAGGCCCGGGGGCCAGATGCGGCTCCCCGAGGCCTTTGGACCGGCCCCAGGCTGGTCCTGCCGCCGCCGCCCACCATGATGATATTGATTATTGTACTTATTCTTGGGGTTTTCTTGGCAAAATCTCCACAGGGGTTTTGCCATGGCTTTTTTGGGGCTGAGAGAGTGTGCATGCATATTTTTAAACAATTTTTTTATTTTTAATATTTATTTATTTATTTATTTATTTATTTATTTTTGGTGCTTCGGCCCCCAATTGTCTGAGGGACAGCAACCCGGCCCCCGGCTCAAAAAGGTTGCCTACCCCTGGACTAGAGCATGGAGCAATGGATGCAAACTGCTGGAAAAGACTTTAGGAGGAACTTCATGATAGTGCTGTTTAAAAGTAGAACACACTCCTTTGGAGTGTGGTGGGGTCTCCTTCTTTGAAGGTCTTTAAACAGAGGCTGGATGGCCATCTGTCAGGGTGCTTTGATTGTGAGTTCCTGCATGACAGGGGGCTGGACTGGATGGCCCTTGTGACCAAATCACACTCTGGTCCAAAGCATACTTCAGAAATACAATTTGAGACCGCTTTAACTGCCCTGGCTCAATGCTAGGGAATCATGGGAATTGTAATTTGTTGTGGCACCAGAGATCTCTGACAGGGAAGGCTAAAGGTCTCACAAAACTACAGTTTCCTAGCATTAAGCCAGGGCAGTTAAAGCAATCTCAGACTAGATTATTTCTGCCGTGTGTTTTGGACCTCTCACAGCCTGATTTTGCAACATATTCAAAGTTGCAAACTTTAAATCTATTTCTTAATGGGATGATTTTAATAGTGTTTCAAAATGTTGTTTTTAGGTTATTCTTTTTGTGAGCAACCTTGGGTCCCACTCCAGAAGAAAAGCAGCATATAAATTATGTAAATAAAATAAAATAAATCTTTTTCTCAAGAGAAGTCAAGCTGGTTCCATTCTTTTGATAGTGCAAAGTTTTTGCTGCACTGCAGTTTTTCCAACTTTTCTGAGAAAAGCTCCTTACCTTACCTTAACAGCTCCTGACAGAGCTGTCAAACCTCATGATAAGTTCATTTTAGGGTCACCATAAGTCAGAAATGACTTGAAGACACACAATAACAAAACAACAAGAAAATAAATAAATATATGAAGGATGTTTGTACTCTTGTTTTTACTTCTCTCTCAATAAATGTCACATTTACCAATCAGTGTAATCTCATATCTGATTTTTAGCACACAGATTTTCTTACAACACTTGCCAAACCATTTTTTTGCCACTTTGAATCAGTTTGTAACTGAAACCTTTAATCATCATTAACCACACCACAATTCATTCCCAACCAAATTCTGCCACTGGCAAATAGATAAAAGCAATCAAGATTAAAAAGCAGAGTGAAAATTTTAATTTTAATTAGCCTTTAAAAACATTCTGCTCCCACAATTTCAGGTTGGCACTCCCCAGTTTTTTTGTGCTTTTTGTGAAACGTTTTGGAATTAATATACTAACCTAGCAAAGTATGTGGTTTTTGTTACAACCTCACTTTTCTGCCACAGCATGCAGAAAACATCAAAATTATATTTAATTAACTTAATGAGTTCAAATAAGCATAAAATAGCAACTGATCTCCATCAGGGTTGCAGTTCCCTTTCCGGTGTTTTATGAATTGTTTATAATTTTGGTATATCTTTCACAGTGCAAAGTCAGGGGATATATCTCTAAACAAGCTTCAAGGAGTCTTCCCTTCAATTTAAAATTTTTTTTTGATGGAGCAAACAGCTGTTGAATCTAGTGAAGAGCAAGATGAAGTCTATTTTAAGACACAGCTACTCAAAGTTGTGGTCCTTTGTGGTAGTTCTGAGCCATCGGCTTCTGGTTCCTGGCTCAGGAAAGAAAAAGAAAAAAAAATGTACCAAATGGGCATAGATTTAGTATCTTCCCCTGGCACATTGAGAACAAAATAATTTATGGTCTCCCACATCAAATTGTCTTTAAGAAGGCTTCAGAACTTGGGTGATAGATGTTGAATCTACCACTGAGTGGAGCCTGACCAAAGCTTGGAAAATTTACGTTTTGCATACCACTGCACCAAGGATCCCCAAGCTTGCATGGAAGTGTAGTCTGAAAAAGTAAATTTTCCAAGCTCTGGTCCACAGACAAAGATGGATAAGGTCACCTCCTTCTCCTTCCTTGCCCCCTTCTTTTCTTTCTCACATCTTTTATTTCTTCTTTTCCATTCCCCTTCCATTCCAATTGCCAGAGGAGGGAAATCAAACTCTTGCCAGATGTCTGAATTTATTACTGGCAGATAGCATTTGAAATTAGGTTGGGAGCACATTAAGCTGTTAGGTTGTAGCTGGCCCAATCCTGCTTTAAAGTATGAGTTGTAGAAATGCAATGCGTGTTTTGTTTTATTTGTCATACTTACTTAGAAAACTAAACTTGCTGTGGGGCTTAGAACGACCACTGAGTGTTCCAGTTCCATGTTGTTGTTGTGTGCCTTCAAGTTGTTTGCTACTTATGGCAACCCTAAGACGACTCTATCATGGGGTTTTCTGGGCAAGGTTTATTCGGAGGAGGTTTGTCGTTGTCTTCCTCTGAGGCTGAGAGCATGTGACTTGGCCAAGCATAGAATTGAACCCTGATCTCAAGAGTCACAGTCCAGCGCTTAAACCACTATGCCACACTGGCTCTCTTCATTTCCATAGTGAATCATTAAAATGATAAAGCAATGTGACTAGATACCTATGGTTATCCTGTGGTAATAGAAAGCCTCTTGATGTCTTACTTTTTTCAATGATAATGTGTTAAAAATACCAGTTTTTATCAGTTTTGTTTCCCAAAATATGCACTCATGTTATTTACAAAAGGGTTCAGGAATAATTTTAGGAAGACTTTTGGGCAGGTCTTTGGTAATGTCCATAAGCAGGTTGCACTGGACTATCAAATCACAACCTGAACATTTTGCCCCTGAATGTTTAATATTTAGGAAATTGGCTTCTTTCCTCTTCTCCTGAGGTGCCACCTGAAATAATAAACAGGGTTCCAGGTGTGACAGACAAGAGGTGATATGTGCAGAATGATAGCAAAGCCAGGGCTGCTACTTCTGGAATAGCTGGCAATTGTCCTCAGATTGCTCTTTGAGAATGACACTATTCGAATCAGAGACAGCTGATGGTTTCCATTTCAGTGGCTAAATGACTAGTCTGGGTCCAGACTTTGAAGGGCATATGCTATTTGAAGATAGGGTTCTGCATCTTGAATAGTTCACTTAAAGTTTGGAGCAGACAGGGAAGTCAACATTATTTTTCCTACTTGTGGCCAGTAGGAAGAAGATTGATCAAAATGTAAAACAGCCTTCTACTAAGGGCTTTGTATTTTCTTTTTCTAAATGATTTTTATGATAGCTTGGGGGTATACATGTTTTATTGTTGCTACAGCAAGGACAGTAACAACAACTTGAGCTGTTGAAGAAATAGAACCACAGTTATTTGGTATACATCATGAAACCTATTTGTTCCATGTCAAACTGATAACAAATGCTACTTTTTGCATTAATATTGTGAATTGCAAACTTATTTTGGTGCCTTTCTTAGGTAATTTTTCCCCAGAACTGATGATAAAATGAAATCACATATGTTCTAAATGCTAAAGGATGCATTAATATCTGAAAACCACAATACATTTTAAATGCTTGGCTTCTGAAAAAGGAATTCTAAAAACAGCTGGAAGAAGTGAAGTAATCTATTTAGCTACAGTTTACAGCTGTTCTGCACCACTCATGTTTGTGTAACGGATAATGGTGTACAAATTTGGGAAACATATATTATGCTTCTAAGGAGTTGTGGGCACAAAGAGACCATGGAGTCATGGCTAGGGAGCAGATCTCATGCACTCTTCAATCTTATTTGAGTGTGGTGTTGTGAAGATTTTGCATTTAGCATTTGTGAACCAGTACACACAAATGGTTTGCTTGTAATCATGGAAGAACAGATTTAAGGTAAAACTGGTATACAGCTAGCTGGGCATAGGCAGGCATAGTGCACAATTTCCATGTGACTCCTGCACACCTAGCAATTCTGTGGTTGATGAACTTGGAAAAGTTATCTTTTTTGGACTGTTTGGACTTATTGAGGAGTTCTGAAATTGTAGTCCAAGAAGGTATGATTTTAAAGGTCTTTACCTCTAGTTTGTCTCTTTATGATGCCACAGAGAATTGGTCTTATCAGAACTGTAGTGTCTCTTATATTTTTGAATGGTAAATATAACAATTATGGAAGGAAAAATTGAAGAATGCAAGGAAAGAAGAGCTGCTACATTTGAAATATTCCTTGGACTTTTTTTTAACACACTTTGGAGAGAAACTAGATAATAAAAGTTACTGTATGAATTATGGAGGGTGGATAGGTATGGATCTATACATGAAATGTGATTAATTAGATTTTATTCCTGGAGACTTCAGTGTCAGAAGCATTTCCTCTATTTTTTACATTAAAGGTGAAATTAGCCAGTGGCCTATTTCCTTATCTATTTTATTAATTTCTTTTAAATTACTTCCTTCTCCCTTTCCCTCCAGTTCCACGCCAGCCTGGAGTGAGCAATAACCTCTTTGAAACATTTGAAATTGAAAGAGGGGTTAGTGCTGATGAGGATGAAGCAAACGATGACCCAGGTAACCATCGTATTTCTCACTTGGGATGTTGTGTGGGTTCATTTCCCAAATAACTTCTTTAAAAAAACAAACCAGTGTGTTTCTTTGTGTGCTTCGTGTTTATGAATAAAACACTTTTTAGTTCTTGTGCTTTGAATGTGATTTCTAAGTCAACTGGTTATTAGTTCAGTCAGTGTTTTGACAGCTCAGCCTTAAGGCAAGACACTTTAAAGAAACTAAGCACATTAAATATATTGTCACACAGGAGGCTTAAATTGGTTTGAGTGACTTCATGTAAAATGTAAAATCTACGGGGAAATGGCTGGTTTTGACACTGTGCTGTCTGGGGCAAAGCAGCAACCCACACATCTAACCACATCAAGATATATAATCTCCAAACTCATCCAAGTTATCTTGGCGTACGAAGCAAAAAATCCCCCAAGCCTATCTCCTTCCTGCCAGTAAAAATACAGCAACAAATTAAATAAGTAATAATTTTCTGTCTTTTGAGGACCCCCACATCACTGTTACCCAAGACAATAGGGATAGTTCTGCACAGGGGTACAAATTCATTTTATAGCATTTCTTATAGCTTTAAACCTCTCTTCCCTTACCAGTCTCCAATCAGGGGGAGCTGAGAACACGTTTATACCTGATTACTTTCAGCATTGCTGGAACATTTGGTAACATTTGGTAACTGTGTTTCCCAACCAAGTCTATATATAGCATGTATTATTTGTGGAACTTTCAACATTTTTGTTGTCATCCATGAAAATTAGCTAAGGAGCATATTGAAATTTTTATAGTATGCCTTTGAGGCTGCTGATCATATAGAACATATACCCATAGTTTAGGCAGCAAACATTACTACATTTTCCACTTCAAATACAGCATTATTGGCAAACACACATCTTTAATGTTTATGCACACAAGGCAGTTGTATTTGCTGTATAAAAGCATGGATCAAAGTTACTCACCACATCCAGTTTTTAAATTATGGAAGAAATGATAGTCTTATGGGAGACTTAATGTTAATTTCAAAACTTGCCTTTTGATACCTTCAAACTTTGACCAAAGAAATAGATGATCTATAGGAGATTTAATGTTTAAAGGAGAGTGGAGAGAAAGGGCAGCATTAAAGAAGGAGAAGAGCTGGTTCTGCATGTTGTAATTCAAATAATGACTGTAGGCTGCCCCCAATTTTGCAAATCTAGTATGTCCACCATTATTTTATTTTTTAATAATTTTTGTTAGGAACTCTATACACTAGGTTGAGGATCATGTAGCCTTCCAGATGCCGTTTGACTGGAAATCCCGGCAACCCTAGAAAATATAAACAATATGGAGGAATACTGGAAGCTGTAGCCCGACATCGTCTGGAGGGCTGCATGATTCCTGTCCTTGCTGTATTCTAACCATACAGTTCATCTGCTGTAACAATTGAGGTCTCTCCTCCTTTTGACTTTTGCTTTGTTATTTGCAGGTTTTCTTGCTCATAGTTGTAACTTTGATGATGGCCTTTGTGGATGGATGAAGGAGAAAGATGATGATTTACACTGGGAACCTGTCAAAGATTCTTCAGGTATTGCTTGATTTCCTTGCATTTAGTGTAAGTCACTAAAGATTAATTGGTAAGAACCTTCTAAAGCATATGATGTGGACTTCAGTTCCCATTATCCTTGGTCATAATGGCTAATGTTGAAGGAAAATGAGGACTGTAGTTCAAATCATCTGGTGGAGAGCATCAGGTTGGGGAAAGCATTCATAATATGTGCCCTTGAGTCCCTTTATTGGGAGAAAGTGGGAGATGGAGAACGCTATGTTGGGGGCTCTCCATCACTTAAAATCTAAGTGGAGGTGAAAGTTGCACCAAGAGATGTAGCTATGGAGGCTTAAGTATGTGACATTCTTACATTTTCCAGTGCAGTATTCCAGCCTATAATTTATGCTTTTAAATGTAACTTCCCAAGCTCTGATTCCTATAACCATTTTGAAAATGTTGTCATTGTTGTTGCTTTTTTAAAAACAAAACAGGTGGACAATATTTATCTATTTCTGAACCAAAAGGAAAAGCAGGACGAGCTGCCCGTTTGATCCTTCCACTTGGCCATTTAGCTCAGTCAGGGGAACTGTGCCTGTCTTTCCGGCATAAAGTGTCTGGGATGCATTCTGGTTCGCTTCAAGTCTTTGTAAGAAAGGCTGGTGTTCATGGACCAGCAGTCTGGGGAAGGAACGGTGGACATGGCTGGAGACAAACACAAATAACGTTGCGAGGATCTGGCATCAGAAGTGTGAGTATAATTCTGAGATGCAGAGAATGGAAGAAAGAGGAAGCTTTGTGTGGTTCTGTTCCTGGATGTAATACAACTTTCTGTTATTTCTAAGTAGATTAAATTACTGTATTTTAAAATATGATTAGCAGTTTTAAATACCTGGGGTCCTTGGGTGGTTAATGTAAGATATATCTTTAAAAAGTACTGTCGTCTATGCACCTTTTTTGGTGACACATTCCAAAAATTAAACTTCCAGAACTACCCTATTAAATATGCTTTCTTTTCATATTATCATTATCCTCCCAACATAACATCTTTTCCATTGAAATACTATAAATGTCTATCCAATTTCTTAAAAAGAAAAGAGGGAATACAATACAAGTAATTTTTGAGTTATGAAAGATGAAATAGCTGTTTACCCTTGTCAATATAAGGAAGGAGTGAATGCCTTGAACACTAATGAAGAAGTACATAAAAGATATACATCTGTGTTTTAGGTATGGGGCTGTGTTTTGTTGATTTGTTTTGCTGTTTTAGTTAGTATTTTGTGTGAAAGCTTAATTTAAAAAGTTTAAAAAAAGAAATCCTATAAATGTCAAATCAGAGGTAGGCTACAGTCCAACATTCTTTCAGCCTAGCGTAAATATCTACATACAGAGACACGCTGTGTCATCTCTATGCATCCCCATGCAGAATAGCAACTTTGCATAAAGCAGGTTTATAACTCTGTGCCATTTTGCAGTGATACACACTCCATAACTTCTGTG